ATGTTTCGGCAAGATTACCGAGGCGGCCGTCACCATGTTATCACTACACAAGGAACATTCCAGAAGCAACATGTCTGGTGTCTGTGTAACATTTGGCATCCCAGAGATCCAGGAATCCTGACTCACCACTGGGGCCTCCAGGCACTCACAGGCCACTCCAGCAGCCTAGAAACTTCCCACAGTGAGCCTGGTCAACCTTGAGTGGACAGTACTGTGCTCACAGCCTGTGTCCACAGCTCTCATCACCCCAAGACAGGCAGCCAGGGATCTCTAGCTTGTAACTAGCACAGGCAGCCCTTGGCTGGTCTCAGGGCTCGCCACAGCCATAATATGCACTGTGGGCTTAACCATGGATCCTGAGGGCTGCCTCCCTCCTCCTCAGATTCCGGAATGTGCTCAGGGCCACCTATCTCCACCCTGGCCTGGTGAGATGGACTGAAGCAGGACACATGGGGTGAAAAACCAAATTAGGGGAAAAAGAACTGAGGATGGGTGAAGTGGCCCCCATCTTTCCCGAGATTCTGAGTGTGGGCACAGTGGAGGACAGTGTGATCAGGTAATGTCCTGTGCCTGACCTGGACCTCATCCACTTGTTTGCTCACTCGTCCACGTAAGAGTGCATTTGAGTGGCCACTGAGTGAGTGGGCACCACCACAGAATGGTCTTAAACTGTCTTTTAAAAAGTAGAAATAAGGTTGATGGAAAATAAACAATGCGTTTCATTTAAAAAAAAAAAGAGTGCTTCTAAGTGAGGCACAGAAGGCAGACTACAGGAGACAGTGGGAACATCCCTTCTCTAAGAAGGCAAATCACCTGTGAGCACACAGGCTGGAGAGCAAGAGGAAGGACATAGCAAAGGCCCTCATCTTTAACTTGGGTGGTCCACAGTGACCTCAGAGAGCAGACCCCAGAAGGGGAGAGAACATGATCAGAGTACAGTGACAGGAATGGAGTAACATGCAGCGGACCCGCACACCGGATCCCGGTCCTCTTGGCTGCTCCTCTGCCCTTCATGCACTTGAGCCGCCACGTCCAGATCTGGAAAGTGTAGGCCAAACTCTCCTCAGTGTCCCAAGCAACTAGCCCCACAGGCATACACAACCTTCCTGTGTTTGCACTTGAAGATTGTCAGAATCCTAAAGCCCAGATTCTATCTTATGACTAGCACTCTAACATCAGCCAGTGCGGGCAGCCAGCCCCTGGTGCTCCTCTTGGAACACCCTTATGACGCTGCATACAAGGCTGGGCCCAAGAGTATACAGCACCCTTGCTTCACTCTCGCCCTGGTCAGGGATCTTGTTAGTGATTAAGGTTCCTAATTTACTTGCTTGTAATGCAAGAGATGAACGAACAAGTGATTTTTAGTTATCCTAGAAAGGATTGAAGCTGTCAAAGATTTCATCTTCCTTGGATTAACAATCAACATCCTTGGTACCAGAAGTCAGGAAAGCAGGAGACGTACTGCACTGGGCAAGTCCACTGTCAGGGACTTCTCCAAAATGCTGAACAGCAATAATGTCAGTCTGAAGACCATGGTGTGCCCAATTCAGGCCATGGTCTTCTCAATCACTTGCTATGCATCAGAGGGCTAGACAGTGACCAAGGATGGCCACTGAAGAATTTATGTCTTTGAGTTGAGGTGCTAGAGAAGACTGCCAAAAGAACAAATAGGTATGTCTTGGAAAAAATACAGCCAGGGTGCTCTGTGGAAGCAAAACTGGCTAAGCTTTGTCTTTCATACTTTGGACATGTAGCTAGGTAAGGCTATTCCTTGGTAAAAGACCTTATGGTTGGAAAGATGGAGGATTTGTCAAGGAGAGGAAGACTTTGAAGGAGATGGACCGACAAGGTGCCTTCAGCAATGGACCAGAGTGTTAGAGATGATGAGAATGACAGGATAGCGCAGGGTTCAGGTCGGCTGTTGACAGAGTGGCTATGAGTCATGCTTGACTCAAGGCCACTGAACGCTAACACCACCTCTTCCAACAGGGAGCTCTGGTGGCCTAGTGGCAAGCAGCGGTACTGCAATCCCAAAAGCATGCGCTTTGAATCCACCATCTGCTCCGTCGGAAAAGGATAGACAATCTCCTCCCGTGCATTTCACTGCCTCTGAAAATCCACTGAAGAGTCAGCTGTAGGTTGATTCTGGCTCAGCAGCACACAACACGCTTCCTACAAGGTCTCCCAAGTCTGCAATCGCACACATACCTGCCCTGTCACTACAGTCCTCCTCAATCCAGTGCTGGCCCTGGCCACACAGCCTGCCGTGGAGAAGGGGGAGTTGTAATACCTGTTGGGGCCATGTCCCCATGAGTCAGCACACAGCTTCCACTGTGAAAACAGGGCTTGACGGAGCCAAGGCTGCCACTCACAAAGGGCTACACTGCCATGGAACGACTGAGACGTGTTCAAGGGGCCTCCAGGTCATCAAGAGCCCACGGGGAAGAGGACCAGTGACTGGGGAGACACAACGGGACCTGAGGAAAGGCAGGTTCCTGAAGTCTGATGGATGCTGGAGGTGATCCTCCATGGGCCCCAACAAAGGGCTTTCAGACTGGCCACCTTGTGTCTGTTCCCTCATCCTCACGTACACTTAGCACAGCCTAAGGCAGAGGGATCCTGCTCAGAGACACAGACAGAAACCAAGGGGCCAGGAAGTCCCGTGCCTCTGCTCTAGATGTCCTCCACGAGGGCCTCCCTGCCTCCCTCTGACATTCTCTACTCTCTTGGTCTACAGACTGGTCTCTCCTGGCCAGGTGCTGCTTGATAACAAAGGCATGTATGTCATCAGGATTGAGGCCTGAAGGCCACTGCCTGGTGGAGCAATGACTCCGGGAGCAGCATGGGCACACGGTGCTGCAGGGCCAGGGCTTCCATCTTCACCTCTGTGTTATCCTGCCCAGAGCAGGACAGGAAGTCCAGCCCTTGTACTCGTTCCAGTGCCCTGACAAAGTTCTGTCTGCTGCTTACTTTCAAATTAGAAAAAAAAATGGACTGAGAGCTTCAGAGTTTAAACAACTTCTTTATTATCAAGTCAGAGTCAACTTGCTAACAACCACGGCCACCCATATTTGAGCTCCTGAGACTGGAAATGCAGAGGACACATGGGGTCTGCTAATTTTGAGCAGAATGGGAGCGGGCTGATGGTGCTGTGGCCACAGTGGGCACTGAGGGATGTCATGAAGAATGAACATCACACACACTCTGAGATGCATTCCACAGTGTCACCGCAGAAGCCACTGTCTATACAGGGTCCACACAGGAGCATTGGCTGTTTCTGAACCTTTGATCTTTGAAGAGTACTGGAGACGCCTCTACATGATTGTCAGGCAACATCCCGGAACAGTCTGGAGTCTAGTTCAGTCTCCGGAACTCCCAACAGGATCCTCTGGTCTTCCTTTTCAAGGCACTCCACACTCTCTTTCTGGTTTGCTGTCGCATGCAGCTACATTTGCTCCCCTGGGTCGGATCCTAAAGTGAGGCCCTGGTTTCAGCAGGAGTCAGAGGCTTATTCAGAGGCTGCTGTCCCCGTGGCACAGAGCGTGGGAGTGAGGGTGGTGGGAAAAGGAGGGAGCATGGTGCTGAGGGGAGGCACACCAGCCTTCAGTCAGACTGGAGCCCTCTGAACACCAGAAAGCAGCATGGTTTGTCACTAAAGAATACATAAATAAATATCCACTGTGGGAAATTCATATGCCACAGAAAAGTATAGTGAAGAAAAAAAACTCCACCTTATAGTTATACAATCCATTGTTAGAGTTACATGCTCTGGTGGCTTAGTGATATGGAGCTGTGCCCTCAACACAAAAGTATGTGGTTCAAATCCACCAGTTGCTCTGCAGAAAAAAGATGGGCAATTTCATTCATCCCACGTGATTTACTGCCTCTGAAAACCTGCTGGACAGACAGCTCTAGGTCAGTTCCAACTCAAAGGTATACAACAACAAATCTGTATTCTGCCACACGGTTTTTTCATATTATTTGTGAAAGAAGGTTTATCACAGACGCTCTTTGTGACTTGCTCTCAATCCAGTGAGACCCTTAGTTGAATCCACAATTGTGCTGATTTTCGTGGGGGACTTGGGTGGAACATGGTGTCCACTCTGATCAAAAACACTTGCGCTCCAGATCTGCTGTCTGAAACGGACTCATCTGCCAACACTATCTGCTCTTGTCCAGGAACTGGGCTGGGAAAGCTGACTGGGGTGAGGCCAGACTCCGACTCAGTAGCTTCTTCTGCACTTACCCATGCATGTGACCTACACCTCTGGGGGTGCCTCTCTGAAGGGGATGCTTATGCTCAACACTCAGCTGTCCACACTTTACAGATGTGTGCAAAAACCCCAACAAATGGGGTGGGTGCTCACACTGCATGTCATTCCAGCCAGCCATTTCAGATGCTCCACAGGCCCACAGCTATTGATATAAACACTAAATGCCCAAATAGTCCTAGAACCTGTGCAGTGTGCACGCACCTCTAGGACCAGACTCGGGGGACACTAGGGCAAAGCTGGGGAAAGGCCTAGCTGACCTCAGGGGCCTAGGACACCCAGCCTCTCACCACGCTATCAATGAGTTCATCAGACAGTGTCTGCAGACTGACCACCTGGCTTGAGTCACCAGGGCTGTGACAGCAAACACTGGCCCACTCACTGTGATAACAGAAGCATAAGGAGGCACAAGGCCTCTCTGGCCTGGCATCCCCCATCCATCCACCATGCAGGGTTCAAGATGCCAGCATCGGTGTGCATGGAGCAATAGGCCAGGGCCTTTGTAGACAAGGCCAGGAGAGTGGCTCTGAGAGTACAGTGAGGAGCCATCTGCTACCTGGGCCTGAAGCACTTTTATTTCTCATCCCTCACACCCACCACTGTCCTCCCTGATGCTTCAACAAGAAGAGCAGAGGAGTGGCTCAGCTGTAGGACACTGAACACTGAAGTCAACAGTGCCTGGCCCTCACTGGGCTCCTCTGAGAGCTGTGTCCGAGGGTTTCTGGGATGTCAGAGCTGGCTCCTGCTGCCGTCTTCTAGCTGCATCTGGAGGGCCAGCTGCTGCCCAATAGCCTGCAAAGGGCTGGCTTGATAGGCTGGGCTGGCCAGCATTGTCTGGAACCGGGCCCTTTCTTCCTCACTGAAAGATCAAAACCCAAAGGTCAATACCACAGCAGTACAGGATGCTCAGTCATGGGTAGGGGGCCAGTTTGGGGATTGAGTACCATATAGCCCTGGGACCCAGATCTGCTCACTTCCTCAACATTTCATGGGTGGGCCGAGAGGAAAGGATGAAGCAGCAGCCTGGGTTCAGAAAGGAAAGTCAAGGAGCCATAATGGGACAGAGAACCCTGGTCAAGGGGACTTACCACAAGGCTGCACTGAGCAGGGCAGCGGCTTAGAAGGGACAATACCCTCAGATGGGAACAGAGAGAAATTGGTTAAGAAATGAAAATGTGACCCTGAGACCCCACTGTCTGCACAGTAAGAACTCTGCATGTATCTGAACGCCAGGCATGCTGTGCTAGGTGGGGCTGAGTCCTTGGTGTCCCTGCCACTCTCGGGGTTTATGAGATTCTCTGGCTCACATTGCAGGACTCACTGGACAGGCACCAAGACACATGGCCGTGCAGAAGGAGCTCCCTCCATGGAGCACCCAGAATAGATGAACATGGAGACAGAGCTACACCAGAAGGGCAGGGACAGATGGGCTTGGCCCCTAGAGGACAGAAGCTCTATCCCCTCTGCCCGCCAACACAGGCCCTGTCTGAACACTGTGCCGCAGGAGTGACAAGCTGCCTGATGGACAGGCCTCAGGGGTCTTTTCCTCCCGCAGGAGCTTAGGCTGGGCCAGGATCTCATGTCCTGACTTGTGCTGCCATCTTCAGCTTTCCCAGTCCCACACAGCCCTCATCGTTCTGACCCTGGTGAGGAGATTATGTGTGACTGAAACCAAAGTGAATGGATACAGGGTCTCCTTTCTAGCTGTAAATATAGTCACTGTGGGTAGTGACTCCAGGATAAATCCACTGCAGGCACAATGCCACTGTGGTAGAGGTAGCTCTGACTTGAACGAGAGGTCAGAGCGAAGCCCTATGACCTTATACAAGTCAGACTACTCCAGGATCATTTTCTTTTCATTCACAGAAACCTCATAGACATCGGATGATAATTGGAGAGCCCAGGGCTTCCTTCAGTATTGTTCTGACACTGGCAGCAGAAATGGCTCCCCTCTTGCGAGGGGCGATGGGGTCAGCTCCCACTGCCTTTAGCTGCAGAGAGGACAGGGCTAGGAGTCCATCTGCTTCAGGGTTGGGCTGGGGTTTGATCAGAAGAAGGTCAGGCAGTCCTGATGCGATGGCAGAGTGAAGCCAGTCACTGGAGCAGACTGAATTGAGGATCTGGTTCTTTCGGGTTCTTAAGCCCGATTTATACTGCCAGGTACCAGGGACATAAACTCAGACAGAACTTCTGTCTTTAAAACAAAGGGGCATATACACAGTTTCCTGCTTCTCCTCTCAGAAACTGCTCACAAGGTTAACAAGAAATCAAACCCTATCTTTGATGAAGCAGGGGACACATAACTCCTGACTGGTCCTAAATGTAGAGTCAGTCACCAGGGCAATGGAGGAGGTGGGTTTACGGTGTTGACCATATATATGCAGTTAGCACACAGTATGTTAAGAAGCAAACTACTGCTCCATCCAACTTATCGGAGAAAGTACCCTGCACCCTGTGGGAGCCCCAGGACCAGGACAGGCACCAAGGAGAGGCAGGAAGTGAGAGGATGGGAGGAAGAGGACTCAGAGATCCAGGACTGCTGATGCATGCTGGCCCTGCTAACTGGACACAAAGGTACAGCTGGTGATCGGTCTGGTGAATTTAATGTCCACAAAATATCAGGTCACAACCAATCAGGCTGAGGTGAAGGGGAAAGAGGGAACACTTTCTTTAGGGGGGGTGCAACAATCCCCAAGGAGTCTCCTGGTGGGGACTCCTGGTGTGAGTCGAGGAGGACAAGGAGAGGACAAAGATCTCACATAAAACCCTCGGCCACCAAGAGATTCTTACAGCTCAGTTCTTTCCAAACACAAATTTTCTTTCAATAGCTGGTGGAGGGAAATTTACCAAAAGATAAGCAGAATATAGAAAGACAAACAGAAATAAAAACCCATACAAAGATATTAAAAATTTGATACTATAAACATATAAAGTAAAAATGAATTATAGATACAGATCAAAAGATCCAACTTGAATAACTGGTGTCCCTAATGAAGAGAAATAAAGAAAATATCTGAAGAAATAGTTTACTGACATAATTCATTAAAAAGATAAAAAAATAATTCAGAAGAGAGACTTTAATCTACAAATTTAAAGGATAAAATGGGCTCCAGTAAAAAATGAAAATGAGGTATGTTTGTAGTTACTTCAGCGTCAAAGGGGAAAATAACCCCTCTGGGCAGCTGAGAGATGAACTATCTGATAAGGGTTTAAAAATTGTGGTTACTCAGATTTCTCCACAGCCACTTCCAATGAAGCTAGAGCCAAAGACAGGAAATAAGCTAAGAAAGTGTGACCCATGAGTGATTATTTGGGTACAAATCTCCACAAAGAAATAAATGTCTTTATACAGATTAAGATCCTACGATGCTTTTTAGGACAAACTTGGCCGCGAGAAAAGCCAGGGCTAGGACTCTGGCTGAGTACTGGCCCTATTAATTGGGCTCTGTACAAACATCGAGGACTCCAGTCACAGAACCAAATGTCCAAACACTTCCCCTCTAGGTCCTGGATCACAACCAACTAGGCTGAGTGGGGCAGAAGGGGAGAGGGAAGGAGGAGACACTTTCCCTAAGGGAAGTACAAGAAGCCCCAAACCTCTCTGTAGGCAGTTAAACAGACTACTCTGTGCTGTCTGCACCACACCTGCTGTCAAATTTGAAAACCATCTGGAGAAGAAGCCAGTTTCAAGTGGGCAGGACAATCCTCAGTGAGGCCCGGGGAAAGCCTGTCTGGTGAGGAGGCATGAGACCTCGGCAGCCTAGCCAGGTTCATACTTACAGGAGTTGAAGCCTCTGCACAGCACTCATCCGATGGAGCTCAGTGGGCCTGGGCTTACTGGTCACTCTCCTGTGGATAGAAAAGCCTAGTCAGGCAGGCCCCAGTGTTCCATATGACACAGTTCTCTCAGACATTGGCTGCCCTTCTCAGAGCTCAGGCTATAGCTATTTCAATGCCTGCAGTGACCAGGTCATCACAAATTGAGCTCTGTGCTACATTTTTTGCTAGAGAGGCTGGGAGCTCACAGTATCTAGGATGTATCTCAATGTCTACTGGCTCCCTTGTAGTTGGAGGGAGTAAGCAGATCCAAATAGACATGCACTGAATACTTTAATGACCAAGTTGTTTGTCCTATGGGGGTTCATGCAGGCCATGCGCTTCTGAGAGCCCAGGTGCTATTTCTCCTCAGATAAAAAAGGCCAAAGTGAAAACCATTGAACGTCAAGCCTTTAGCCAGCCAGGCCAGTATTGCTCTGGAACATCTGTCAGTTCGAATGTGAACAGAAGCCACATGTCAAGAGAGAAGGTCAAGAAGGGTGAAGAGATCTGCTCACTTTCTTAGGTTATTGCCTAAATTTAGCCTCCAGACCTGAATACTGGATATTTTATTCATGTTACTTTTAAAATATGAATGTAAGAACTGTCACATGCAACAAAAATAATATCTCAGCCCAATTTTTCTTTAGCTGTTCTCCTCAATCTTAGTTATTCAGGGGAGGGCTCTGATTCTGACTCCTGGATCCGTTCTAGGCTGAGCTGATCTTCCTATCTCACCACCTTCTGCTCACTTGGGCTCAGGGTCCGTCCACACTCACTCAAGGCAAGTGTTTTCATAGAAGGAGAGAGTCATCTCATTCGAGATAGTTCATTCCAAAGGCTGACCTTTCAATGCATGTATTCAATAAAGATGGTCAAATTCCTAGTGCTGTGTTACTACCACCCATCAGTCACAACCTGGAGCAGAGTGGCAGAGAATGGGGTAAGAGACCCCCACGGGTCACCGCAGTCTACGAAGCGGCCTACCAAAGCCTGCTGAACAGGATGGAGGGGAGCCCATGGTTCTGAGTCTGGCGTTTCTGTGGGCATTCTCCTCGTCCCACCTGGAGAAGCTTCATCTGGGTGGTCTGGATGATTCCAGGGCAGGGTTGACAGCAGTGTGGTCCTTAGCACGAGGCTTTAACTGATGTAATTTATAGAGGTTCCCAGGGCAGGAGCCAGTGTGTGAACAAGCAGGCCACTCTGAGTGGGTCAGTGTGGAAAATGAAAAAGCAGGCTCTCCAGGAGTGTACTTTTGCGCTGTACGAAGAGCGGGAGTGGTGGTCAGACTCTGGTTCTCTAGATAAAGTGTTAGAGCACTGTGTGGCAAAGCTACATACACACTAAGCTGTCTCACAGCATCCTCAGCCCCTGGGTTTCAACCGCACTGACTCCACGCTGACTCAGGTCCACAGACGCTGGTGAGGCTAGCTCCAGAGCATCCAGTGGGTCCACTCTAGCGCCCAGGCAGACCACACACAGCGTGCCTCAGACAAGACTGCGTTATCTGTGAGCTGTTTCTGTGCTGTGCTTACCTCTGGGGTCCTCTGCCCGGCCGGGTGCACACGCATCAGCTCAAGAGGGACAACACAATGCCATTTAGTGTCACCGAGGAGTGCTCTTGATTCTTGGGACTGTACTGGTAACACAGAAACCTTGTTAAGAAAGTATGGGCCAGCTTCCAAAACTACTATCTGGATGGCTGGTCAGCTTGATGGGCCTCATAGGCTGGTCTATGTGTGGCCTCTTCCAGGCCTCTATCCTGCTCTACTGCCCACTTGCTCAACCACGGGTCAGAAGAAGGGTGCAGACATCATAAGTCAGCTGGTTCAGCCTGCAGTGTTCAAGGAGACAGCACACATAATCTCCAGAGGTTTTAAGAAGGCTGAAGACCAGGCCTACCCTAGGTGCCACGCCATCCGAGTTAGCTGGGCCAGGTTCCATCACTCCAGCAGGCATTTTGCCTTCTGCTAGGTTAACAGCCGTGAGGCCAAGTGAAGGTCCTGAGGCTGCTCATCTATGTGACAAATGAAAGCCCTGATTCTGTTCCCTAAGAAATGGCTTTGGAAAAAGGTGCTATAACTTAGGCTGTAGGTGTTGCTGAACTAAGGAAAAAGAGCAGCACATAAGCACTGTACATAGAAAAGTTGTGCCCTACAGGAGCAAAGGTTAGCAGCGCTGACACTGGACCATGCACACTAAAGTGACTAATCACATTTACAATGGTGTGAGCGAGGCCGGGTAGAACAGATCCATGGGGCAATGGATTATAGTTGAAGACAACAGCATGAAGTCATGTTTACCTTAATATAAACTCAAAGCTGCCATCAAGCCAGAACCAAAGCACAGCTGACCCTCCAGTGGGGTTTTGGAGGCTGTAAAGTACACAGGAGGAGACTGTCCATCTCTCTCCCTTGAGCCACTTGTGGATTCAAATGGTTAGAGAGGTGTCATCTTTTGAATTAGCAGCACAAACTCCCTACAGACTACGTCACCAGAGCTTCTCTCTAGACCTCAATTAGGTGTTCTGATGGCTTAGTGGTAAGGAGTGGCATTGCCAACTCAAAGGTATGTGGTTCGAATCCACCAGGTGCTCTGGAGGATTTCCTCCCAGCATATATACTGCCTCTAATAACCTGCTGGAGGGTCAGCTACGAGGCTAAATAAATAGTTACAAACATAAATTAGTTACATGAATTGCAATTAGCTAAAAGAATTAGACACAGATACTTCCTTGCCCTGCCAGCTGAGAGAGCCTAAAAACAATGATACCCCAGTAACAATGAGCACACCAAGTACTGAAATCTTGGGTTTCTGATACTTATCTCAAATAAAGAGAACCTGGGCTCCTTGGGTGAGTAGCTGGTTATTGACCAGGGAACTAAATGTACAAGGTGATCCTGGAGCATACTGTAGTGCCAGAAAATTAGTGAGTGCTCGTGCTCGCTCCTGCCTCTCCCTCTATCCTGGGCGCATACGTGCAATAGGGGATGGGTACATCAGCAGTCAAGAGTGCCTAATGACCAAAGTTAGAACAAGCTCAACAGGAGGAAAAAATAGATATAGGAGAATATAAGCCAAGGTACAAAATGAACACCCAAGAGTCCATCCTGATATACATAATTTAAAAGGAAGAAGAGATCAGTCATGCAGAATACCAAATACTGTCCATAGATTAACTGCCCTCAAAGAGTCAGCGCATTATGCCTGACTCGATAAATGTAGGTTGTGCATAGTGGTTTTCCTCAAAGACTTCAGTGTGGAAAGGGAAAAAAAAAGAATTAAAAAAACTTTCCCAGATGAAAAAATTCAACAAACATGACTCTGACCAAATGGTCGGGGTCAATACCAAACCACCAGTGACAAGGCTTGTTGGTCTCAGATACTTTGTGCATGATGCCAGGAGGGACGAGTCTTTGGAGAAGGACATCATGCTTGGAAGGGTGGAGGGCCAGCACAGAGGAGGAGACTCCAAATGAGATGGAATGACATAATAACTGGGGTAATGAGGGTAGTTGTGTGAGAGACAGTGAGATTGGCTCAGGATAGAGCAGGATTCAGAGCTGTTGTACACAGGATTGCTATGTGTCAGAGTTGACTTGACAGCATATAACCCATGACACGATGTGGCGAAAACGGCCCTTGACCCCTACAATGTTTTTCCCAAAACACCATCATTCCAGTCTAATGACACAAAATCCCAATTTCAAGGCATCCTACAAAAGTGAGAGCCAGTACTTCTAATATTATGGTCAAAGTTCTCCATATAAGCAAAGCACTGAGAAAGAGAAACAAAGTAGGGGGCATCACACTCCCTGGTATCAAATTCTACTACATACATAGCTGTGGTGGTCAAGACAGCATAGTAATGGTACAATGACAGACACACAGATCAAACAGAATAGAACTGAGAATCCAACAATCAACTCATCTACCAATGGTCAACTGGTACTTAATCAGTAGACAAAATCAGTTAAGTGAGGAAACGACAGTCTCTTTAACAAATGTTGTTGGCAAAATTGGAAAACCATCTTGCAGAAAACTGAAGCAAGTCCCACATCTCACACTATGCACAAAAACCACCTCAAGGAGGATTAGGGACTTAGGAGTAAAACCAAAGACTATAAACTTCATCAGAGAAAAGCTAGGAACAACTCTAGAAGCCCTAATCTATATACAGCATGAACAGACTTGCAAGTATACTGAAAAACTTGCAACTAGCAAAGAATAAAATTGATGAATGGGACCTTCTAAGAATCAAATCCCTATGCACATCCAAAAACTTCTCCAACTGGATAAAAAGAAAAGCCAGAGACTAGGAAAAAATATTGGGCAATGGAATATCTGATAAGGGACTTATATCTAAAATTTACAGAATACTCCAGCACCTCAACAAGAAAAAGGTAAGTAGACCAATCACAAAATGGGTACAAGATATGAATACTCTTTACCAAAGACATTCAGATGGCAAACAAATACATGAAGAAATGTTCAAAATCCTAACTATCAGAGAGAGGCAAATTAAAACAACTATGAGATACCATCTCACCCCAGTAAGAATACTAAAATTCAACAGAGCAACAAACAACAAATGCTGATGAGGCTGTGGAGAGACTGGAACTCTTATTCACTCCTGGTGGAAATGTAAAATGACACAGTCAGTATAGGAAGTGGTCTGACGCTTTCTCAAAAACTTGAAAACAGAAATACTATTTGACCCAGCAATTTCACTACTGGGAAACCAGAGCTGTTACTCCAACAGATTCATATTCATTGTTGAGTTATTCACAATAACAAAGAGATGGCAGCAACATAAGTGCCCATCAACATATGAATGGATAGAAAAACTGTGGTACATTCACACAAAAGAATATTATGCAGCACTGAAAAACAATGAAATCTTATAACACTGCACATAACATGAGTGAGCCTGGAAAGCATTATGTTGAATGAAATACATCGGTCAAAAAGGGCAAATACTGCCTTATCACCACTATTATAAAACAGGACTGATATGAGGAGATAGGAGGAAAATGGGAAAAGAATGGATAGATAACAAACACTGCATTGGAAAAGATGAGGGGAAAGGTCTGAAAGGAATGTACGATTAGGCATTATATTTATGACAATGTGGAACAAGAGGTGCACTTCAGAGTGGACTGGGAGACAGGGAAAGGAGGGCAAGGGAGGAAAATCTACAACAATGAATGAATGAAAACCCAACCTTTTTGTAAATTTTCATTAAAATCACAATAAAAAATTGAGTAATCAAAGTCATCAAAACAAAGAAAATATCTGAAAAAATTTAACAGTTAAGTAGAATCTATATGCTATGTTTTAGGTGAGACTGTGGAGATGAAAAGGACATCATTTAATTTGTCAGTGAAAAACGGACAAAATCTAGTAAAGCATCTATTGTAGCTTTAATTTATTATAATTATACACCTATCAATACTGATTCATTACTTATAATAACATACTAACTTAAGGTCTCATAATTTATTATAATAACAATAGTAATATAGGAAACTGAGTAAAGGGTGCATAGGAAGAACTCTCTGTATTATCAGTATAATTTTTCTTTAAATCTGTAACTACTGTTAAGATAAAATGCTTATTAAATCAAACTAAGTAATCAACTTCCCCAGAACTTAAGATACGTGTGAATAGAGAGTGCTTATGGCCCCAGAGCAGCGAGGGAGGCTTTTGTGTGTCATTCCAGCCACAACCAGGAGACTACAGAGTTTAAGGCCCAGGTCAGGCCACCCTATCCTGACCTGAGACAGTGTGAGCAACCACAGACCAGTCTCAGCCCATTGGCAGCTCACGGCTGCATATGCATTCCGGCCCCAGCCCTGACTGACCACAGTGTTTATGCAGCTCTCTCCCATGGGAGCTGGAGGACATTTTTCAGATGAGAAAACTGAAAAACCACACATGTGCACTTGACCAGGGTCACATTTTTGTTTGAGGACCTGGAATGGAATTTGCATCATATGCTTGGGTTCATTTGTCAATTTTGATGCAAGATGACCACTCCCCCTCATGCAGCAAATATTCTGGGTGGTTCCACCTTAGGGTAGAGAGCCACCTTCTCTTGTCTAATAGTAGGAGTCCCTCATCCATGGAGGGCAGACAGGAAGCAGACTGAAGTGGCCCTGAGCATATTACCTGAGACTAAGCCAACTTTTTTTAAAAATTGTGATTTTAACAGTTTACAGAAAAGCTGTACATTCATTCATTGTTGTGTATTTTCTTCGTGCTCCCTCCTCCAATTCATGTTTTTAAAAGAATATTCATTCACTGTTGCACAATTTCCTCCCTCTCCCCTTACCCCAGTCTATTTTGCAATTCACCTTTTATTGTAGACTGTTGTCATACATACATATAATGCCTATATATATATATTCCTTTCAAACAGTTCTTTATTTCATCTGTTCCAATGCAGTGTTCATTATCTGCCCATTCTTCTCCTAGTGTCCTTCCAAGTCCCTCATATCAGTCCTGCTTTATGACCATGTTGTTACATAATATTTGTCCTTTTGAGACGAAGATACTTCACTGTCAGCATAATGTCCTCAAGGGTCACTCATGTACTGTAATGTTTTACGAGTTCACTGTTTTTCAGTGCTGCACAGTATTCGATTCTGTGAATATGTCATAGTTGTTCTATCCATTCATTTGCTGATAGCCACTTGGGTTGCTTCCATCTCTCTATTGTGAATAACACAGCAATAAAAAATGGGTATGCATGCATCTGTTTGAGTTGTGGTTCTGGTTTGTTTAGGGTATATTCCCAGTAGTGGAATTGCTGGGTCAAATGGTATTTCTATTTCCAACTTTTTTAGTAAGCACCAGACTGTCTTCCAAGTCAGACTAAATCAACTCTTGGTGAGGTCAGAGAAAGCTGTTTCTCAAAAGACAAAATCAGAAGCCGCAGCAATATGGTGAAAGGATCAGAACAGCATGTCCTTCAGGGTCTGCCTGCTTGTTACTGGAAAACACAGATTCAGTCCACACCTGACTGAGGTCCCTCCCTCAAGGGCTAGCCCCCAGGGGACTTTTGTTCTTGGAGACTGCAGCTCAGAGGCAGCATGTAGTTTGGAAGAAGTAGAAAAGCCCTTAAGGAAGGCTTTCCGGGAGAACTACAAGGCAGTAACACATTATGTCTCTGAATTCAAGAGGCAACAGCATCTGTATGGGGGCTAAAGGGATGTGCTTTGCATGAGTCCTTATGCTGGCTACCACTTGCTGTCACGACACCACCTCAGGGCAGAATGATCTGTGGCTCTCTCCCGACAGCAGCCTGTCTAGTGTTCTAGGTGGCTCTGGAGGAAAAGCTAGCCCAGCTCTGTATGAGCTCTGTATGTGTCCAGCTTAGTTACTCAAGAATGGAGTCCTTCCACAACTAGTTCTCAGTAAAGGGGTAAAGGGGAACCTGCTGGCACATTTAGATACACAGTGCCTTGGCAGTTAGTGGAACACAACAACCAGCAAATTTTTTAATTCTAAGACATTTTAAGAAAGAACCAGCTATAGGTTCTAGCCAGAGCAGGTCATGTCCCTCCATGCGTGGGAGGCCTGAATACAGCCTACTAAAGCTCCTGGGCCAGACTCAACATTTTCCTATTGAGATATCCATCTGCCTCATGCAAATGCCCTCCCTGCTGGGGCTGCTCTTCGCCATGCACTGCCTCTCTGGTTCAGTCCTTATCTATCCCTGGTTATTGTTCTTATAGGCAGTCTATACTGCTCTGTGCTCTGCTTCCCAGCCCAGCCCTGCTTATGCACCTTGTTGTTGATTGCCGTCCAGTTGAGCATGACTCACTGTGACCCTATGAACAAAAGGCCTGAAGCCTTTCTATAACTATTGTCATTTATCAAGGTTTATAGAGTTTCCAGAGGTATGTTGTTTAGGAAGTGGATGCCACTCCTGGAGAGCTTGTCCACACTTACACGGCAGTGGTAGCCTGTCCCCTGAGGTTGTGCTGACTAAGGACAGAGGGGCCAGTCATATTCCTGCACTGGAAAAGCAAGGACTATGTGTGTTTCTCTAGCTATCCCTGAGGCAGGGCCAAGGTAGCTGTGCCCAAACAGAAGAGAGGGTCATAAATGAGCAGAATTTGCCCTATTCACCTCACCAACTTGACCAATCTCCCATTTACCAGCAGGTTCAGGCACTACCAACATATCCTGCCTTCTCTGCTTCTTGGGACACAGTCACCACCTGCCAGCTGATGCCAGGACTCAGCCAAAGCAGCACAGAATCTGACAAGACCCATCTCCAAGGAGTCAGGACTGCTAGAACCTTGGCTGCTGCTTCTTCCTCTACCATTCTTTTTCCCTGTGCATGAAGCAGCCAGTGAAGAGCCCATGGAGCAGCAGGACACCACACTTGCCTTCTAGGCTGCCGTGAGCCACCACTTTTCTCCAGCTCTGCCAGCTCAGGGAGGGCGTCCATCAGTGGGCGTAGGTCCCCCACCACTTTTGTGGCTCTCCGCCGCTGCGTCTCCCGGAGCTTCTGCTCGGCCAGCTTGATGGCTTCTATCTCTGGAAGTGGGGGTGAGAGGAGGAGAGGACAGAATTAGTGAAGAACAGAAGCCCTTGATATGTGTTGACAAGCTCACACTGGAGGTAGGCTGTGAGGCCAGGTGCCTACCGGCTCCACTGGCCAGCAATGCCCAGGGCAGGATGCCCAGTCAAGTGGGGGTGTTAGGAAAATCCTCCAACCTCGTTCTGTTGAGCCCCAACTTTGGCCCTGCTTTTCCTGGAGCTGACTGCCTTTACAAGCCTGCTGGAAACAGGCCATCGAGTTCTTTGCTGCTGTCACCTACATGCCGCCTCTGGAAACCTGGGAGGCGGCCGGCTCTGAGTTATTTTTTCCCTTAATCACAGAGCTCAGCACACGTTTTAATTACAGGGTTGATCATGAGACCAGAGCTTTAGCACTGAGGATTTTTCCTTTTGAAAAGGGAGGCTGGCACAGTGGCCTGGGCACGTGGGGTGGGCTGAGGGAGGAGGGAGCCCCACACAGATACACAAAAGTAGGCAAAAAGACAAAAGGCAAAAAGCAAGGTCTCGATTTCAGATAACATGTCACTTGCTGGGAGAAGTATGGCCCCCTGTGTCCTGCAGAGTTAAGAGGACCCTCCCCTGTGGGCCTGGAGGAGCTGCCAGGGAGAGAGGTCGTCCTCACAGAGGGGGAATAATTTAAGGTAGATAGAAAGTGACAAGGTCCCAAAGGAAAGTATGGGCCTGGACGGAGGGCCACAAGGGTGCAGATATTGCATCCAGCTGGCCGGAGTACATGGGTAGGACAAGGCTTCTATACTCAAGAAGTGACATGGGCCTGGAGCTAGAACAGGGCAGAGCCTTGGGCCTCAATTTTCACTTACAAATATATTTAACTTTTAAAATTGCTAATAAAACCCGCATACTTAAATAAAGTCTTCCTATTTTTAGACAGAACACCAGCCTTCCTTCCTAAGGATAACCAAGAGGTCAGGGAGGCAGCATCTAAACAGTCAGAAGGCAGTACTGGAGAACAAGGAGCGACAGCCACTCCCTGACTGTCACCCAGCAACACCGTGGATCCGCTGGTGACTGCTCCAAGCACAATAACTGAGTTGGACTGGGGTATAGAGACAATGACAAAGTGCTCAGAGAATGCATCAGAAGCGACAATGTCCAGAGAACTACCAGAATGGACAACAGCATTCTCCAGGGCCTGTTGGTCATGACTCCTTCTGTTTATCCCGGCCTTGTGCCCCCAGAGGTCTTGCCTGGAGAGACACAGAACCCACAAGGCCTCACCATCCTGGCACTGGTCTAGGTGGCAAGGCAGTACTGAGCAGGCATACCCACCATCAGGGTAGATTGTCATAGCCAGGCCCCTAGCGTATGATGCCAAAAAGAAAGGCTGCGGGAATGTGTGCCCAGTGAATAGAAAGATAAGAAGCAATGAAAAAGTACTAGTACAAAAGGCGCTCCTCTCTAAACTGATTTACAAGCACCAAGATCTAGAGCAAGCTCAGCAGGGAGGACACACATGCCTTGCAGGGAGGTTGGACCCTCTGGCCACCAGCCTGACCTTGCTGGGGCTGGGAGAGGCTGCTCCCCATGGAGAACAATGCAGGGAAGCCCTGCTGCTGGCCTGTCAGAGTGGGCCTGAAACTATTAGTTAAACTAATTGATAGTAGAGTTCTGAACACATCCTAGTAGTGCAGTGTTACTGGCTACAAGACTGAGATATAAAAAACTGTTAGCAATTATAATTTTACATACACAAAAATTACACACTGTTGACAGAAATGAAAGAAAATCTAACAAATGGATATATTCCAGGTACACAGATTTGATGATTCAATGTCAGAGCTCCCAACACTTATCTAAACATCAATATAATCCCAATCAAAATCCCATAGGTGTGTTTTTGTGGGTTTGGTTTGTTTTTAAGAAAACTGACAAATTAGTGGTAAAGAGAAAACTCACAAATTAGTGGTAAAATTTACATAGGTTAAGGGCTTCAAAGAACTCAAATGACTGCAATCTTAAAACAGAACTAAGATGGCTGACTTATATCACTTAACTTTAAGACTTGTTATAAAGATACAGTAATTAATACTCACAAGGTATAGTAAACAAATCAATAGAAGAGCATCCAGAAACAAATTCATGAGGCCATGTGTTTCTGAATTTGCTTTTTTCCCCAAACAAAAGTACCAAAACGAATCCAATCAAGAAGGAAAGGTTCTAGATGGTGCTAGAACAATTGAATATCCATTTCAGGGGAGGGGGAATGAATGTCCGTCAGTATCTCACACCATGTTATGGCTGTCATCAAGTCAATTGCAACTTATGAAATTCAGTGGAACCTGAGTTCCATGCGGTAATTCTTGGTTTTAATTTTAATGAGAACAGAGTGCTAGGGTTGTTTGTTTTTTTGTAGTACCACTGGGTTAGGAGTTGAATACAAACCATTTTCATCACTCAGGACCCTCACATCAGGGATAACATTTGTTCAAGATGGACAGAAACCTAATTATAAAAACTGAAATGATAAAGCTTTTAGAAGAAAACATGTAGTTGTTGTGTGCTGCCAAGCTGGAAGAGACTCATAGCTGACCCTCCAGTGGGTTTTCAGGGGCAGTAAATCACACGGTAGGAAACTGCTCAGCTGGTGGCGGATTTGAACTAGCTGTCACTGTGCGGGCAGCACAACTCCTTCCCCAGTAGGCTGCCCATGTAAGAGGCTTCAAATCCACCAAACAGGAACGTCCATTCACAGCACACCTGACAAAGTGTACTTCTATATAAATGGCCAATCTGATGGAGGTTTTAGGGGCTCTCACTCTACAAGAGCCAAAAGAACACATTCTTTAGCTCTGGAGTCCCTGAACTAAGATAACCTCCTATAGTCAAACAAAAACAGTAACACGGGCCAAGTGCTGTAACAATGAAAACCAAGAGAGACTACTACAGCAGACAAGTCGGCCCACAGAGCATATGATAACTAAGGCAGCAGCTATGATGGTACCAGAAAAAGTGGCGGCAATGCACAGACACAAATGGTAGCAGCATCAAGCCCGAACTGAAAGCTAGGAGTGAGCAAGGTCAAAGGAGTGCAGGGAGTTTCCCTTCTCAAGTTTCCTGACAGGTGAAGATGAATACTGGTTCTAGAGAGGTGAAATCAACTCCTCTTCTCTGAGGAGTCCCCTTTGTCACTGAGGCCACACGCTAGGGTCCTGTCAACCCTTGTCCTTGGTGTGTTTTAGTTTCTACTCACACCCTTCTCTTCATTAGAGTTGTAAATGCAATCATGTTGTGTCCCTGAGTTCTCTGTGACTGTTTCAATGAATTATTAAACCTAACAGAGAAAGAACGCTATGGGAGAGAATAGCTGGTATCAGAATGGTAGCGAAGCCGGACAACAGGTCTGCATTACCTCTGCCTCATATGAACCAGTTTGTTGGTACTGAGTCTTACAATCAGTTATTATTACATTTTCTTAAGCAGGATGCATACATACAAACAGTAACTATACAGAAAAAGGTGTTGTAGTCGTTGTGTTGTTGTACCATAGACTCAGAACTGACCCATAGCTGACCCTTAGGGGAGTGGGGGGGGTTTCAGAGGCAGTTAATCACATGGGAGGAGACTGCCCATTCTTCTCCTGCAGAGTAGCTGGTGGCCTCGAACAGTGTGCCTTTGCAGTGCAGCTTCTTACCACTCAAAAGACATCACTAAGAAAATAAACAGACAAGTCATCTATTATTGTTGTTGTTACATGCCACTGAGTCACTTGCAACTCACAGTGACCCGATGTACAAGAGCTCTAAACCCTGCTCTAACCTGTGCCAACCTCACTGTCTCTAACACATGTACTTCCACTGCCATCACTGAATCGATCCATCTCATCGAGGGTCTTCCTCTCCTGCACCATGCCTCCTCTCTCCCAAACATGATGTCCCTCTCCAATGACTGGTACCTCCTTGCAACATGCCCAAAGTATGTCAGACGAAGCTTCAGAATCCTTGACTCCAAGGAGCAGCCCAACTTCACCCTCTCCAGGACAAACCTGTTTGTTCTCCTAGCAGTCCATGGTATATTCAATACTCCTCTCCAACACCACAGCTCAAAGGCATCAATTCTCTTTTTATCATCACTAGTCACTGTCTAGCTCTCCAATGCATAGCACACAACTGAGAAGACTATAGCCTGAAGTCATTGTTCTTCAATATTCTGGAGAGGTCCCTCACAGCTGACTTTCCCAGTGCAATTCGTCTCTTGATTTCCTGGCTGCTGTTACCAAGAGTGTTGATTGTGGAGCCAAATAAACTAAAACTGTTAAGTATCTCAATCTCTTCACCGTCCACACTGATGCTGCCAATTGGCCCAGTGGTGAGAATCTTTATTTTCTTGATGTTGAGCTTCAATCTGTATTGAAGGCTGCAGTCCTTGACCTTCTGTAGCAAGCGCTTCAGGTCCTCCTCAGTTTCAGCAAGTAGGGTTGTGTCATCTGCATTAACGCAGGTTGTTGATGAGTCTTCCTTCAATCCTGATGCCACATTCCTCCTCGTACAGACCAGGGTCTCGGATGATCTGTTCTGCATACAGATTGAAAAGGTATGGAGACAGAATACATCCCAGGTGCACCTTCTTCCCAATTTTGAACCATGCAGTGTCTCCTTGCTCTGTTCTGACAACTGTCTCTTGGTTCAAGAATAGGTTTTGCAAAAGCACAATCAAATGTTCTGGGATTCCCATTCTTCTCAGAGTCAGCCACAGCTTGTTGTGATCCACACAGTCAAAAGCCTTTGCATAGCCAATGAAGCCAAGGAAAAAGTATTTGTAAAGTGTATACAACAAAGAAATGGAATGTAGGCAATACAGAGTTCTTTCCACAGTTAATAATAAAAGGTCAAATGATTTCATGAACAACAACAGAAAAGGGGGCAAGGATTTGAACAAAGACTTCACTAACATAATTAAAGATGATCTACAAATAGGCAAAAAGCACATGACAGTTTGCTCATGGCCAGTAATGTAAA